TGCAACGCTGCAAGATTTGTCCGAGGCCCTCAGGGCAATGATTCTGGGTTGCTGTTAAGGAACTTAAGTTAAGTTACTATAGGGTTTAGGGTTTAGGGTTTAGGGTTTAGGGTAGATTATCCCCCTAGAATGGAGAATCAAATGGACAAGGAAATGGAAAATGAAATGGAAACTGGGGGAATATAGGGATTTAGGAAACTTAATTTAAGTTACTATATTGGAGAAACCCTATTATTTACTATATATACCCATTATGGTAACTTAATTTAAGTTCCTTAACAGCAACCCAGGATTGGCGTCTCAGTGGGGAAAAAGCTGGTGCTGATGTCTGGAGAAAGCACCTTGGACGAGGACGGGCTCTCTGTGAGACACCTTCTGGAAACGCCGATTACGTATGTTACTGAGCAGGTTGGTGCCGGCCACGCGGCATTGAGTTTCACACGCATGTTGCCCCGTCCGGAGACTCCTCTGACACAGGCAGAAATACAAGAATTCAGAGCAATTTCTGCAGTGACATTTGGCCACGGTTTCAACCAGAGTCTGGCAGGTGTCAGGTAGCCAGCTAACCTGCAGACATTGACATTTGGCGATGAGTTCAACCAGAGTGTGCAACGAGTCGCGTGGCCAGCTAACCTGCAGAAATTGACATTTGGCGATGAGTTCAACCAGAGTCTGGAACTAGTCACGTTGCCAGCTAACTTGCAGACATTGACATCTGGCGAGAAGTTCAACCACAGCCTGGAACGGGTCACGTTGCCAGCTGACCTGCAGACATTGACATTTGGCGAGAATTTCGACCAGAGTCTGGAAAGGGTCAAGTTGCCAGCCAACCTGCAGACATTGACATTTGGCAATGAGTTCAACCAGAATCTGGAACGGGTCACGTTGCCAGCTAACCTGCAGACATTGACATTCGGCCATAAGTTCAATCAGAGTCTGGAACGGGTCACGTTGCCAGCTAAACAACCGACATTGACATTTGGCCGGGGTTTTAACAACAGTCTGGAAGGTGTCACGGTGCCAGCTAAACTGCAGACATTGACATTTGGCGTGGAGTTTGACCAAACTCTGGAAGGTGTCATGTGGCCAGCTAACCTGCAGACATTGACATTTGGCGAGAAGTTCAACCAGAGCCTGGAACGGGTCGCGTGGCCAGCTAACCTGCAGACATTGACATTTGGCGTGGAGTTCAACCAGAGTTTAGAAGTAGTCACTTTGCCAGCTAACTTGCAGACACTGGCATTTGGCGAGAAGTTCAACAAGAGCCTGGAACGGGTCACGTTGCCAGCTAAACTGCAGACATTGACATTTGGCGAGGAGTTCAACCAAAGTCTGGAACGGGTTACGTTGCCAGCTAACCTGCAGACATTGACATTTGGCGAGGAGTTCAACCAGAGTCTGGAACTAGTCACGTGGCCAGCTAACTTGCAGACATTGACATTTGGCGAGAAGCTCGACCACAGCCTGGAAGGTGTCACGTGGCCAGCCAACTTGCAGACATTGATATTTGGCGAGAAGTTCAACCAGAATTTGAGAGGTGTCGATGTGCCTGTCCTAATGCAGATTGGGTTTGGCTCGGAGCACATTTTGTCCCATGTTGCTGTGCACAATGAGGTTGCAATCTAGCTACTTCTCGCTGCACACGGATACGGCCCGGTAAGACCAACACGTTTACAGTTTATGAAGATGTTTCACCACTGACACATGGCTTGTGTCACCTTCGCTCCAGCTATTATAAGACTGCTGCTTATGGCAAAGCACATTAGGAAGTCGCCTGCAAGTGAAGGTTTGAACGATAGTTCACGTTTGAGTTCAGCTTGATTGGCATACGAAGTGGTTGTATGGGAAAGTTGTTACTTGGTCTTGGTGAGTAGCACGTTGGAGCCCCAAGGAGGCAAGTATTACAGTTTGTTTGGGTGTATATAGAGCGATTTTCCAAACCGGGGGTACCCGTTGGGGATTCCTGCCAAAAAGGATTATGGTAGTTTGGGGTCTACATGGGGAGCCCTTTAAAAAGGATTCTGCCAGAAAAAGGGCTCCCTCAATTTTTGGCCGCTCCCATGTGCTTGAGGAGTTCCGTTTTGGGGCTTAAACCCTGAACCCCAACAGATTTTCTACATCTTGACTCTGCCAGATGGGAAACTGGGTTAGGGTCTAGGGTCTAGGATTTAGGGTTTAGGGGTATTATCTTCCTTTGATGGAGAATAAAATGGAAAAGAAAATACAAAAATAACATGGAAAGTCAAATAGAGCATCAAATGGAAACTGGGGTAATACTTTAGTATTATCGCTGTTAGAATTTCTTTATTATGACTATTTTTAGTACTACTATTACGATTATCTTCATTTTTACAATTTTCATTGTCGTGTTTTCGCTGTTTTTATCATTAATCGTTACGACTCTTATTGCGATTCTTATTATCATTATTACTGCATTGCTGTTATTGTTATTAGTATTACTGCCATGGCCTCTGTTTCCTCATAAGCGTGGACGCCCGACATTCCTCATGCGGCACTGTTCCACTTGAAACAAAGAGTTCCGCGAGTCCTCTGGCAAAAAGTACTGCACATGTTGTAGTGATGCAATTCTCACCAGTCTCAAGACTCATATTACTGTGATGAAGCGTTGCGTGGCTTCTATTCAACCTGCCACCCCAAACCGCAGAACCGAAAACTCAAAGCCCCAAACCCTGAGTACGGCACAGGACCCTTGCAGCTGACAAGATGTTTGAGTGGATGGTTATTCTTACTGCAGACAGAAATTGAAAATGAAAGAAGAGCGATCGATCATCGGGCTTTCATTGTCCATTAGGTGTCTGAATGTATAAAGTAAGATGGGGCAGGATATTGCCCGGCCAAGGTGCATCTGGTTTACCCTGGTGCACTTCCTTGCAGGAGTTGCCTCGAAGTTCTACACAGTGCCTGAGCTGAGCTCCATTTCGCAAGATGTACGCACAAACAGGTCGGCAGGTGCAGTCACACATGAAATTGGGAACATTGCAAAATGTAACGCCTGTAGAACCCCTATGTAACCCCTATATCCGCAATATAGCCCCTACATAACCCAATGAGGCCATGAGTGCTCAGTCAATGCTGCCCTGTGCCACAATGGAAGAGGCCACTCACTTGCTCCTCGGCCTGTGTTTTATGGGCATCCCACAATTCAGCACCCACAGTCAACCCACCAAACTCCAAACTCCAAAGAAGGGCTTGCCAAGGCCCTGGGCCTTAAGCCCTAAGCTCTAAACCTCACCATACTATATTGTAGTAGTTTCTTGTTTCTTTTCCATTATCCCTGTATAATCCTAAGCCCTAACACAAGGACTTCCCTCCTTCCTGAACTTGCTGGGTTGCTGTTAAGGAACTTAATTCAAGCTACTATATTGGGGGAACCATATTAACTGCTATATATACCCATTATGGTAAACCCTAAACCCTAAACCCTAGGGTTCCTTAACAGCAACCCAGCTTATGCTTTCCGAGGATCGTCGACGAGGAGGCGTACGTAGACCCGGATGACGTGACCGATCCCGATGAGCTCCAGGCCGAGGCCACCATTGGGCCTTCGGTTCTTTCCTCAAATTAGGTAGGGTTTAGGGTTTAGGGTGAGGAAGGGGGGGATTGGATTTTAGGGTTTAGGGTTTAGGGGATTTCCTGTCATATATGGTCATATAGGGAGAATTGAAACGAACACGGATACTACTATATAGTATATCGGGGTTATGTAGGGATAATGGAAAGGAAAATGGAAGCTACCAACAGTATCTCAGGGGATGAGGAAGAACAAATCGGATAATGGAACAGAAACCCTAAACCCTAAACCCTAAACCCTAAACCCTAAACCTTAATCTAGCGTTTAGGGATGAGGGTTCACGGTTTAGGGTTCATATGACCCCAACCATGTAGAGGCTACAATGTAGGAGTTATATGAGTACCATTTAGGGCTCATGGAGAATCAAATGGAAAAGCGAACGGAAAATGGCATGACAACTATTATATATATATAGGTGTATATATAGGGAGCGTGCATGGTGCATGAGTGTTTTGGGAAGCCAGGTGTTCTGAGTCCTTAGGGTTTAGAGTTTGGGTAACATTTCGGGCTGAGGCTTGCCTAGGATCTTGCATGTAAACATCTACACTCTCGACATGCAGCTCTCTTGGAAGCAAGGCTCTATGGACTCTGTACGGAATCGAAGTGAGGAACAAAGCTCTGGACCACATGTCACGGTGTTGTTCAAAACAAATGCGGGTTTCCCAAAATAAGGGGTACCATTTTAAGTGTCCTTATAATAAGGCTAAACCCTAAACCCTATTCCCAAAATAGGGGTCTATATTGGGATCCCCCTGTTTTGGGAAACTGCCAAATAAGCTCAGAGGCGACGTGATCGAGGTGAAAACACACGGAATACCCTCAGCCCAATTGCTAGGAAACCTTATACCTAGTATTATTTAGGGTTTAGGGTTTAGGGTTATATTGGAATAATGGAAAAGAGAATGGAAACTACGATAGTATACTGGGGTTATATTAGGGTTATATTCCCCACAAACCCTAAAACCTTAAAACCCTCAGACCTAAGTAAAAAGCCTAAAGCCCTGAACCCCGAGGAACCTCTGTGGAGCATCCTGCCACCCGAGATCTCACAATCACGCATCCTCACATGGTTGCTTAGGGCTTAGGGTGTGGGGTTTGGGATGTCGGGTTTTGGGTCTAGGGTTTAGGGTAATGGAAAGGGAACTGGAAGCTACTCTTTAGGGCCTAGGGTTTACAGTTTCCCCAAATTAGGGTCCCATTTTGGTACCCCAACATGCTTCAGGGCTTCGCTTGCAGGCCGTAGCAAGTGCCCTGAAGGGGGTCAATTTACTGGTGGTTCGTAAGGAGTAAGGGAATGTATATATATATATATGGACACCCCCCCCATGATCCACCGACCACCTGAAAACACTGTAAATACCGATAAAAACAAGCATTTTCGCATGATCGGATTTTGGACATTCCACATTTTCGGATCGATTTTATTGAAGTTGATTTGAATTCTATAAGGGGTTC